GAATGTGTGCTGCACTTGCTCGTGGTGATGAGAGAGCTGAAACCTTTTCCTCCATGCTGGGAAACCTGTGCCTGCAGGCTGCTTCATGATTACATAAAACAGGGTACATGTTCCAAAGAAGCGGAAAGTTTTATATTCTTTGTTTTGTTCTCCACTGCTATTATTAGAATAGCAAATGTTCTTATCTGACAGAGTGCTGTTACCCACACAGTCCCTTCAGGAGCAAGACGTCAGTACAAATATGGAAGAAACGAGTCAGAATGTATTTAGGTGAGTAATATGTACTCAAACTAGCTCAGAGCTGCGTTTCATCCTTGGATACCGAAGCAGCTGGCTGACGAAATCTCAGAACCAGGTAAAGTTATCGAGACTAGAAAGCACAAAATGCCCCCTATGTTAAAAATGGGGGGAAAGGAAGAGCCTGAGAACTATCTGCTATGGCTGCTTTAGCAAGTAGTGTGACAGAGTAACAGTTTACGTGCTTTGAGACTCAATTCAGAAGTGAACTCTTGATGTGAACTAAAATTTTGATATACATGTGTTTGGACCATTAGTTGAATGCTTGATCTTGTGAAAAAAATGCTGGAATAAACAATCAGCAAGTTTTGGTATGTACGTAAAAGAAATCAAAGCAATTAATAGCAGTTCTGCACCTGTGTTGGGGCAGCCCCCGGTATCAATACAGGCTGGGGCATGAAGGGATTGAGAGCAGCTCTGCCGAGACGACTTGAGCGTACAGATGGATGAAAAGCTGTACATGAGCTGACAATGTGCTCTCACAGCCCAGAAAGCCAACCATATCCTGGGCTCCATCAGCAGAAGCGTGGCCAGCAGGTCGAGGGAGGTGATGCTGCCCCTCTACGCCTCTCTCATGAGACCTCACCTGGAGTACTGCATCCAGTGCTGGAGTCCTCAGCACAGGAAATACATGGACCTGTTGGAGTGGGTCCAGAAGAGGGCCACAAAAATGATCAGAGGGCTGGAGCACCTCTCCTGTGAGCACAGGCTGAGAGAGCTGGGGTTGTTCAGCCTAGAGAAGAGAAGGCTCTGGGGAAGTCTTATTGCAGCCTTCCAGTACTTAAAGGGGGCTTATAAGAAAGATGGGGACAGACTTTCTAGTAGTGCCTGTAGTGACAGAACAAGGGGTAATGGTTTTAAACTAAAAGAGGGTGGATTTAGACTAGATATAAGGAAGAAGTGTTTTACAATGAGGGTGATGAAAGACTGGAACGGGTTGCCCAGAGAGGTGGTGGATGCACCATTTCATGTTGCCATTGCGGACCAAGACCCCCGAGTCCCCAAGCGTGACTTTATGATGCTGTTCAACGGCCTCCACTTTTCTTTTTTTTTTTTTTTCCTAATTACATTAAAAAAAAAGAAAAACAAACCAAAAAACCCCACATAAACCAAATCCCCGGGGGCACAGCCTCGTATTGGTAGTATATTACTTTCTTTTACCCATCCGGTTTCTATAGGTAAGTTCGTATAACTCGACACGGGCCGTTTCCACGCTGCAATACCCTCTGGCGGAGCCGGGAGGGGAAGGGAGGGGAGGGCTCCCCCGCCCCGCACCCCCCACGCAAGAAAAGCTGCGGTGTGACCGCTCTGCCCTCTGCCGGCACTCCCCACTCAAGTTTGGGGATTTATGCCGGTGGCTGACGGAAAAAAAAACAACCAACCCACCCCACCTACTCAAACGCTGACACACCGGTGCCCGTGCAGCTCCTCAGGCACCGGCCGCCGCCACTGCGGGCCCAGCCCCGACCTGAGGGGGGTCCCCAGCAACCACGGCCGCAACCACCTGGGCCAGGCCACCTTCTACGTGCCGACGGCAAACGCTGCCCTAACTCTGACCCTCCATCCCGCCATGGAAGCGTCACCTGAGAAGACACGGAGCGTCTTCTCACGGAGCCCCCCC